TGATGGACAAAATAAACTTGGATTATGTTATCAAAATGGTATAGGTACATTAATAAATGAAAAAAAAGCTTTTAAATATTATTTAAAATCAGCCAAAAATAATAATTTTGAAGGACAATGTAACCTTGGAATTTGTTATAAAGAAGGAATAGGTGTTAATAAGAATGAAAAAAAAGCTTTTGAATGGTATTTAAAATCTGCTAAAGGTGGTAATATTAATGGACAATATAATCTTGGTTTCTGTTATAGAAATGGTATAGGAACGGTTAAGAATTATAAAAAAGCATTTGAATGGTATTTAAAATCCGCTGAAGGTGGTAATTCTAATGGACAATGTAAACTTGGATTTTGTTATGGTGAAGGTATAGGCGTAAAGAAAGATGAAAAGAAAGCATTTGAGTGGTATTTAAAATCTGCTTATGGTGGAAATTCTCTCGGTCAAAATAATCTTGGAATCTGCTATGAATACGGTATAGGCACTATAAAAGATGAAGAAAAAGCGTTTTATTGGTATTTGAAATCTGCTATAGGAGGAAATTCGGATGGACAAAATAACCTTGGATGTTGCTACGACGAAGGCATTGGAATTGTTAAGGATGGTGTAAAAGCGTTTGAGTGGTATTTAAAATCTGCTGAAAATGGTAATTCTGTTGGGCAAAATAGCCTTGGATGGTGCTATCAAAATGGCATGGGAACATTTATTAATGAAAGAAAGGCATTTGAATGTTATTTGAAATCTGCTGAAGGTGGTAATTCCGAAGGACAATGTAACCTTGGAATTTGCTATAAAAATGGAATAGGTACTATTAAGGACGAAAAGAAAGCTTTTGAATGGTTTTTGAAATCCGCTGAAGGTGGTGATTCAAATGGACAATATAATCTTGGTTTCTGTTATAGAAATGGTATTGGAACGACCAAGAGTGACAAAAAAGCATTTGAATGGTATTTAAGATCAGCCGAAGGTGGTAATTCTGAAGGACAATGTAAACTCGGATTCTGTTATGATGAAGGTATAGGTACATTAATGGATAAAAATAAGGCATTTGAATGGTATTTAAAATCTGCTCAAAGCAACAATTCTCTTGGTCAAAATAATCTTGGAATATGCTATATGGATGGCATAGGCACGACCAAGAATGAAAAAAAAGCATTTGAGTGGTATTTGAAATCTGCTGAAAGTGGCAATTCAGATGGACAAAATAATCTTGGATTCTGTTATGACGAGGGCGTAGGTACGGTTAAGAATGAAAAGAAAGCATTTGAATGGTATTTGAAATCCGCTGAAGGTGGCAATTCTCTCGGACAAAATAATATTGGATTCTGTTATGATAAAGGCATGGGAACAGCTATGAATACCAAACAAGCATTTAATTGGTATTTGAAATCCGCTGAAGGAGGAAATTCATATGGACAAAGAAATCTTGGAAATTGTTATCAAAGGGGTATAGGTACAGCCAAAGATGAAGAGAAAGCATTTAAATGGTATTCAAAATCGGTTGAAAATATATAACTCAAATAAAAATAACGTAATAATGGAATTTATCATAGGTAAAATATAGCAAGTATTATATTAAGCTTTCTTTTAGAACATGTTTATAATAACGTTTAAATATTTTTTTATAGCGCTGCATACAATAATCGCGTCTCGATCAAATCCGAATAGCACCCCAGTAGAAAATTTTTATCACATGAGATACAAAAAGAAATGAATGTTTAATCCTTATCGTGAAACGATAACAAAATAGTCAAGTTACATTTAATTTATAACAAACACCGATGCTAATGTTTCTTTATAGTGTGTTTGGAATTTTGAATAAAAAACACTTGATCACTAAATACTTGTTTATTATAAAGAATTTATATTCCATTGGAATTGTATTTATCGTATATAAACTAAGGTGTCACTACCCAAAAAAATTTCAAATTTCATGATTAGGTGTAACGTAGAATCGTTCATAAAAATCAAATTTGGTTTACGAAACTGCCTTGTAAAATATTTGTATAGATAAATTAACTTAATGATATTGTTCTTGTGAATATGATCATGCGATTTTTTTTTTTTGCCTTATAGTGAAAAAAAATTAGATAAATTACATAAGGACTTGGGGTTATTTAGAATATTTTAGGAAAAAATTTATTGAAAAATTTTAATAAAACCTCCTTTTAAAGTCAAGATGTAATGCAAACCACTTAGTAATTGGTCTGGCCTTAGCGAGTTTATTTTTAAATCTTACAATTTTTTTTCTCAGAATTTAATCATCAGAATCAATAAATCGTGCACGAATAACAGAAGTCACGACGAAATGGAATGCGTGAAAACTTGTACTGGATCATGAAAAAGACCACAAAAAAAGTAATTTAATATCGAACCAAATACAACAAATTAGGTACAAAAAGGAAAGCATTGACAAAGTATCCAGCTTTAGAAGTTGCTTTGGTTGAGGATAAGAGAACGGAAAAAAATCAGCACGAAGTATAATTCAAATAAAAGATAAAAAATATTTATCCTGATATTCAAAACCCGAATTGAAATACAGCTGCTTTCATTATTCCTGGGACACCTGATAAAAAATTCTATAAAGATGCAAACATTAGATTGTTAACTTTTACTTCATACAATATAAGTTTTGCATCCGGAAAATGTGTACCAGGTTGGTGCGCCATAGCTGAATAATATTAGATTTTTCAGAGATCCTTGTCGTATGTTTTTAATTATATTGTAAAAAATGCAGCGAGTACAGAGATATAAATTAATTTATTATAGGTTAGATTATTTGTCACGTACGTACATAAATATAATATTATCTTGTCTTAAAAAAAAAAAAAAACATTTATATTCATAGATCTGAATTATTATGATAAAATTTGTAATGTTTTCTGTTTCAATTAGAGATGGCAAATGTTTTAAAACATGGTTTTAAAACATGGTTTTAAAACATTAATTTTTTTAAATAAAAAACATGGTTTATTACAGACCAATCATATTAGAGAATTTATTATATAATATATATATATTATTTATATATAATGATCAATAATTTTTAAAATAAAGTAAAAATAAATACTAAATATTTTCTTTACTAATTACCAAATGCTTAATGCAAATACATGATACACATGTAAGTTATATAAGAATATTAATTTATTAAATTTAAATATATATTTAATTTTTAATTTTTAATTAGTAATAAGAATAATTCAAAAATATATTGCAAAATCTGATGAATTTTCAAATCTTTTACTTTGAAAATCAATTAAATATTCTAATTTTATTAGTTAGTAGAAATCAAATTTTGAGCATAAATATCCTTTGCTTGTAAAATTAGCAATTAAATTATTATCAATACCAACTTTGTCAGCTTTAGCTAAACGTAATTGGTCACAGTTTGGATTTATTTATAGCAAATTTTATGCTAGATTAGATAATAATAAAGTTAAAAAATTAGTTGCTGTATCTCAAAAACTTAGAATTCAAAAAAATATTGTAGAGGATAGTTAGTTTGATGAATTACAATAAAAAATTTAATTTAATATTAAAGTTTGTTAGAAAATTATTATATTTTTTAATAATATATTTTTTTAATAAAAAACATATAAAATGTTTTAAAACATGTTTTAAAACATAAAAAAATAAAAAACATGTTTTTTGCCATCCCTAGTTTCAATAAAATTCTTCTCAATAAAATTTTGAATTTAAATAATTTGAATGAAATCCAAAAAGTAAGCAAAGCACTTTATAATTTTTATCAAATTAAATGATTTTATTATAAGCATTAAAAGCTAGTAATAAATTCAAAGTTTCATTATTTTAAC